AATGAAATTCCATTTCAGGCAACCAGAGAACACTACGTGAATAAAGTCTCCGCCAAGCATTATCAGGCTATGATTGATAGTTCCCGGTAGGCTTTCACTACTACGTAGTTTAATCCATTTTGTCGCAACTTTCAGGGATACTTTCGACTCTCATCTCAAGGGTTTTCTAGGAGCACTACAAAACCGGACAGCGGAGCGAGGCAGTGCTGGTGGGGTTTATGTCCAGCATTTGGCACATCGACTAGACTACAATGATTTCTACACCAAGATGTGAGCTCAGCCACTTGCATGGTTCTGGTTGCTCCGACGATGACCGTTCTATTAGAATTTACATTTTTGCTATCACAATTGGTTCGTCGATCGATATGGTTCGACTTCGTTGTGTATAGTAATGTGAATTTCAAATCTTATCTCAAGTCGTTTATCACTATATGATGTGTAATACATTGTGTATACAGGTACGGCTTTGATGTTACTGACCACTGGGGCGCTTGAATTAATCAACTAGTACATGGTACCGGCTGCATCCGTTTCAACGCCTTTCTGTTGTGTTGCAAAAAGGCAGTTCCTCATCAAAATTGGTACATCTATTATAAGCGAGAATGGTCGCGTTACTCCCAATGTATAAACTTCTCAACGTGGCCCACAGTAAAGAGAGTTGTAAACATGATGTAGTATAGCACCGATAGCTCCCAATGCATCATGAATCATAATTCATAATTCATGATTGATTTTAATTTTGTCTTTACAGACCGTAGCAGGAGAAAAGTAGTACATTCTTACCAAACCCCAATCCATCTCGAATGGAATGAGGCTTGAATGACGTGGACGATATTCAATCCATTTGACAGAGGATATGAATTAGGGCACTTATAACACAAGTATCGTAATCTCGGAAATCGTTCTATAAAACCGTCAACAGCCTTAAAGCCGGACGAATAAAAAAGTCAACTGTGCTATATAAATCAATTCAACATTCGAGCCGATCCACTCGACGATGGGAACTTCGATAAAACCCGCGTTATAAGATACCTAATGGTGATCATAGGCAGGAACGCGGAGACGAGAAGATGTAGTGGACCCACAGAGTATGATAATAACAGAAATGAGACCTTAGATGGTGGTCAGAATAATGAATAAACGACTTGAGAGCCGATGTCTTCAACGCTCGAATGATTTCCACGCTTCTCACTGGAAGTAGTCGTAATCCAGTTAGAGCACTCTATACTGGAAGAATTGGAGTCAAAAGCGGTGACAAGATCCGAGTGGCCTGGGCTCGGTCTGTCACATAAAATGTCACGTATTAGAAAGTGACAGGGCCGACAGACCAGAGGACATATCGATGTGTCCACCGAGGCCGCCAAAAGACCAAACTAATCCATGCAGAAAATGTTACTCCTGAGGAAAACTGCCACTTATTTGGTAGATGGTCAGCAGTAGCGGCAACGAAGTCCAAGTAAATGCTGGCACCAGCTACCAAGACCGAGTGACTGACGCCTATCTTACCATAGGCCGTCACTGTGTTGTTAGGGGCAGCGGTACAACCGATTTCTCCAGATATAGTGAAGTCGATTATGCTACCAATAACAGG